AAGGCCCAGGCTCTGGAACTCATGTAGCATCACTTCTTCCACATTCTCTTGATCAAACCTTGTCACAAGAACTGCCCAGATTCAGGAGGGTGAAGACATAGACTCCACCTCTTGATGGGAGGAGAGGTAACATCACATTGCAAAGAGGCCTTTAGTGTAGTTTATCACAGAGATCCAAGCAGGTGTGTATGGGCCCTGTGGTCAGAAAATGGAGTCTTTGGGCTGGAGACCTAATGCCTGTTTAATCCCTATGGGCTTGGACCCAATAGTGGTCTCAGACTGCCTGCTTGACACCCAAATTCCCTGCCTCAGCTCTGCGCCTGGGGTGAGAAGGAGAAGGCCAGAGTGAGAGGACTGATGTTCTCTCCAAGCCCTGTGGCGCTTCCTGCCTGCCTGTCCCCAGGGTGGCAGGCTTAACCTCAGCAATCCAGCCTTGAGTGGCCCTTTCCATGCAAAGCTGCTCTCTGGCCAAGCTTAGAACTCGGAGCACTTCGGGCTCCAAAGACCAGGTGTGTCCCCTTAGCCATAGGCAGCTCTCATCATGGGAGGCCTGGAAGGAAGGAAGAGGGGCCCTTCTGCCCCTCAGTGCTGTCTCTTCTTCCCACTGGAAAGCCCATCATTGCTAGGGGATGTCTGAGCTTCTTGTCCTTGATCAGGGAATTCAGGTCTGGTGGAGTTAGAGGAAGGGAGAGTAGGATTGAGGACGTGAGAGCCAAAGGCAAACCTTGGGTTTCACAGAATGCCCTTGGCCTGCCCTCACTCCACCTAGAACGGAGACTGGGCAGATGGGCAGAGCTTTCTCCAATCAGGGCTCTAGTCTGGCAACTGGGCCGTGACTGGGGCTGACTGATATGGTCCTGTGAATTCCCAATGTCACCAAGGAAAGGAGAGAGCTGTCCCTCCGGCCCCTCCCCCTCGAGACTTACTCTTCTCACACCAACTGTAGTCGCGGTGGGCCAACAGTTCTCATTGTCTGCCTTGCAGAGATCGTTTAATCTACTTTAGACTAACAGTGATAGAGACTAGGACACTGGTCTTTCCCCAGCAAACACCATCCAGTTCTGCGGGTTCTAGCTACAGAGAAGCTTTAAGTTAATGGCTACTCCCCAGCCCCATCCTCCGCTTCCTCCGGGGAGAATGCCTGATCCCAGAGTGGGCAGAGCGGGGCACCGGGGCCAATCCTGGGTGGTGCTCCTCTAGGGACCCAGAAGGACCACTCCTTTTAGCCTGGGCCAAATGGCACTTCCTGTTTCAAAGAAAAGAGGCTTATTGTGGAGAGGGCTCCAGCAGTTTGGCAGCAGCCAATGGAAGAGGTAAACATAAATCACGGAATGCAATTTAACTTTCTCTTGAAATGCAAACTAGATTTAAAAATTCCAGGGAATGTGCTTCTGGACACAGCTGGTTTCTTGAGACGGGCTGAATGGAAGACACTGGGTGGGTGAGAAGGGTGTGGGTTTAGTGCGGGTGGTCCTGAGCATGTGCAGGGGCACAGATGGAATGCGTGTGTAAGCAGCAGAAAGGTTTTCTAAATCTTCGACGGCCACTGACTGCCCTCTCCTCTGCTCCTGGGTTCCACATCTCCCAAACCTGCCAGTGGAGGCTCACAGGGCTGCCCTGACCTTTCTAGGAACAGAATCATCGGGCATTGAATTCCCAAACTTTTCTAAATTGACGCTCAGTTTGCTGAGCTCCTGCTTCCTAGACTTTGGCTGGGTCAGCCCATGACCTAGCTCAGGTGTTTTAGCCCCTGTTTGGGAAGATTGGTCCTCCCAGCTCCAGTTCAAGGCCTGTCCTGGATCCTCCTGGGGTACCTACTCAGGCAATCTCGCACTAACAGCAAGAATAATTTGAATCCATCCCTTCAGCAGGGGCAGCTACAGTGCCAACAGCCTGGGTTTCCCCTTGCTGTGGAGTGAAGGGTGAATGGGTGAAGCCACCAGTGAGGGCCGGGAGTGGAGATGACTGACGCATCAATGTCTGCTCGGGGTCAGAAGGACTTGACATCTAGAAGGGTCCTTGGGAGTGAAGAGAGGGAAAGGCAGTGGGAAATGGAGAAGAGTGGACAAAGAAGCCTAGGCCTGTCAGCCTCAAATCTCTCTGCCTTGGGAATGGGGATGTCGGTGGGAGACAGAGGCAGTGTGAGACAGGGCTGGAGGGAAGTGGGGATGATTGAAAAAACCCTGCTGAGATGCAAGATGGTGTCAAGGGCACAGCTGGGCTGGAGCCCCTGAGTTTTTATTGGCCCCAGTCTAAATGATTGTGTGAGTCTCCCCAGCAGTGCTTGGGAGCCCAGGCCAGGGGCACAGCCCCAGAGCAGAAGAGTGGGGGCAATGGACTGGACACTAAGAGATTGCTGACCCTGTGAGAACCTCAGTCCAGAGTCGTCAGGGTCAAAAAACATTTTTACAGCATATACAGACCAATTTGTGATGCTGCCTGCATATATTTGTCGGGGTTCTCCAGAGAAAAAGAACCAGTATATATATACTTATTTATTAATTATAAGGAATTGGCTCATGCAATTATGGAGACTGAGAAGTCCCATGATCTTGCAAGCTGGAGACCCAGGAAAGCCAGTGGTGTAATTTGGTGCAAGTCTGAAGGCCTGTGGACCAGGGGAGCCCATGGCATAAATCCCAGTCTGAGGGCCGGAGGAGATGGCATGAAATGTCCAGCTCACATAATGAGGCAGGAAAGAAGGAGTAAATGCCTCCTTCCTCTGCCTTTTGCTCTATCCAGGCCCTCCATGGACTGGATGATGCACACCCACCTTGGGGAGTGCAATCAATTTTACTGGGCCCACCGATTCAGTTGCTAAACTCACCCAGAAACCCCCTCATGGACACACCTAGAAATAATGCTTAATCTGGTCACTCCGCGGCCAATCCATTTGACACATCAGATTAACCATCACACTGGAAATGCTGATAAATTATAAAAGTTTAAACGTTAATAAATCAAAATGATCCCTGCCATAGTGGCTGCACAGTGCCCTCCTGTGACTGTTCCTGGCCAGGTAGTTAGCAGTGGGATACAGGGCGTTAGCGGGCCGGCTGTGCTGTCTCTGCTGGCCTTCACACTGACCGTGACTGGGTGATCTGGCTCCTGCCTACCTTTTCAGCCACGCCTCTGGTCATCTGGTCATTTGCCTCTTACACTTTAGCCATACTGAGCTGCAGGGCCCACAATGTCCGTCTTTTTCTTCTGTGCCAGTGCTCGAGCTATATCCTTGTCCTAGAAAGTCATTTTCCTTTTCTCTGAGTGGAAGAACCATTCGTCTTCATTCAACTTAATTGTCTGCAACTCCAGAAAGGCTTTTCCATGCAAAGTCATGTGCTTCTTCCTCTGTACTACCTAGCCCCTCCAATGCATCTCAGTGATGGCATTTATGATCCTGTGATATAATTCTGTGCATGTGCAGATTTCTCACTGGACTGTAGCCTCTCTGAGTCACAGGCTGTCTTTTTTTTTTTTTTTTTTGAGGAAGATTAGCCCTGAGCTAACATCTGCTGCCAATCCTCCTCTTTTTTTTTTTGCTGAGGAACACTGTCCCTGAGCTAACCTCTGTGCCTATCTTCCTCTATTTTATGTGGGACACCTGCCCCATCACAGCTTGACAAGCGGTGAGTAGGTCTGCACCTGAGATCCGAACCGGCAAATCCTGGGCCGCCGAAGCAGAAAGTGTGAACTTAACTGCTGCGCCATCGGGCTGGTCCCGGAGGCTGTGTCTTATTTATCTATCTCCAGAACTTAGCATACTATATTTGGCATGTGATAAGTGCTTAATAAAGTGCCTTAGTTTATTTAATTTTATAAAGTCAAATAATTCAAAATTCTTCTCTCTAAAGGACGCATATGAATGTTTTTAAATGAAATAAGGATAGGTGTGCAGTTTTTGGGAAAAAGTTGCAGGTTGTTTAAGAACATAAGAGGTGGTGTCTTGGTTTGCTCTGGCTGCCATAATAAAACACCACAGGCTCTGTGACTTAAACAATAGAGATTTATTTTCTCACAGTTCTGGAAGCTGTGAAGTCCAAGATCAAGGTCAGGTAGGGCTGGTTTCTGGTGAGAGGTCTCTTCGTGGCTTGTAGGCATCTGCTTTGTCCTCACGAGGCCTTTCCTCTGAGCACACCAGGAGAGAGAAAGGGAGCTCTCTGGTGTCTCTTCTTCTAAGGACACTAATCCTATAGGGTCAGGGCTCTACCCTTATGACCTCATTTAACCTTAGTTACCTCCTCAAGGCCCCGTCTCCAAATACAGTTATGTGAGGGGCTAGGGCTTCAGTATATGAATCTGAGGGACGCAATTTAGTCTGTAGCAGGTGGTGCAAATAATAAACACAAATATCATAAGTGTAACTCCAAATGAGAAATGGTCGGTATGAGCCCCTTCTCTCAGCAGCCTGGGGCCTCGATTAGCACTGCCAATTCTCCCAAACCTCTTCCTCCCCAAGCCTCGTTACTGCACTCCCCACCTGGAGTCCTCGCTGTCTCTCTGGGAATTAGTTTTTACTCAGGCAAGAGGAAGGAAGGGGTCACTCTAATTGTCCACAAATGGATCACAATTGATTCCATTGCTGACCCTCCTCTCCCTGCCTGGAGGCAGAAGGGCTTGGGGCGAATGGTGAGTTAACTCCATAGGGTCGCCGTTGCCGTTGCCGCTGTCTTCTCTCCTCTCTATGTTGTGTTGACGGCTGTGAGAGGACCGGCCTCACATCACACCCAGGGGAAGTGGGGAAGCAGGAGGGAGCTGAGCTTTGACCTAAGAAAACATCTGACAAACATACATATATACTTTTATTATAAAGGAAGATGTAAAAATGGGTATAAACAAACTCACTTCATTCCCTTATTTGAGTGTTAAATTTCATCTTTAAGTGACACGTGTCTTTTTGTACCAGTGACTGACATCTGTTAAGCACAATGTTTTGGAATGTTCTGGTTTGTGTAATTCTAGAAGGTTCTGGAATGTGGTTCTGGTAGGTTTCCCGACTAAAAAAAGGCCCTGATACTATCTCTGATAGGGACAGGTAATAAGCATTCACTAAACTGCCTAATGAGCATCTTGGTGGAGATTAAAGGCTGGGTAGGTGTTTTTCCAGGCTATATATATAATTTAAATTTAAATCTTTATTTATTCTACACTGATTAGTCTAGAAGTTGTTTTCTTAGGAGCAAACACTGAGCCATGCGTATTTCCATTGTAAAAAGGAAAAATAAAATATCCATGAAATGCAAGAGGCGCTTCAGTGTTCTGGCAAACTGCCAGTTCCCTCTTCCCTGTGGAGGCATTTGGTCGTTTATTGTCTGGCAGGTGCTGTTTGTTTCTTAATCCCGGCTCCACCTGTTTCTCAGTGTCTTAGGTGTTGCTTTGAGCATAGAATATATTTTATTTTTCCCTCTTCAAAGATTTGTGTGTGTGTGTGTGATTATAAAAGCAATTTGTGTTCACTGTAAAAATTGTCAAGTGCAAAATGATATGAAGAAGCAAGAACAAAAAACTCCCCTTGTACCCTTAGTACCTAAGTACTAAATATTGGCAATCTCTATTCATATTTTGTCTTAAGTCTTTCCATTTGATTTTCCTTATCTTTTTGACGCAGTTGAATCACACTGTATACTTCAATATTTGTCTTGTTTTCTTCACCTGACATTATTTCTTAAGCAGTTTTTTTGTCATTCAAGCAAAGAACTCTGTAAGCATATAGTTTTTTTCTTTTGTGAGGAAGATTGTCGCTGAGCTAACATCTGTGCCCATCTTCCTTTATTTTATGTGGAATGCTGCTACAGCGTGGCTTGAAGAGTGGTCCTAGGTCCATGCCCAGGATCTGAACCTGCGAACCCTGGGCCGCCAAATTGGAGCACGCAAACTTAACCACTATGCCACTGGGCCAGCCCTTGTAAGCATAATTTTTAATGGCTTGCTGACATTCTATCTTACAGATAGTTAATGGATAATTTTTCAAAGGTAAAATTATGACTCTCATACAAATATAAAATTAGCACACGTCAAAGATTTTATTTAAATCATTAATGAATGAGGGAACCAGTAAGAGGCTGTAATTGATTCAAAGAGAAATTTAAAGAACTACACATATATAGACGATAAGGAATGCTGAAATGAATTTACAAATATGTGCTAAACTGGATTATCCAGAGGGCAATAATCAATTGCATTCCACTGGATACAATCCATTTATTCAAGGGAATTTGCATTTTTATCAGTTTCTGCAACTTACTAAAAGACAGTGAAAGGCACTTATAACCCTGTAATCTTTTTCGGCTGTTTGAAAGTCTTTTACAATTTTTCCTCGAAAGACGTAATGTGATTTTACTTAGCTGTCAGGATTGTGTGTGTAGTGTGCCTACATGAACGGGTATGTCACAGGACTGGCTTTCTTCCCGTCTGAGAAAGACGCAGCAAGTCACTGAAACTCCCAGAGCCTAAATGTCCTCATCTGTAGAGTGAGGAAATCCTGGATGGTTTCTAAGTCTTTCCTGAAGCTCTGATGTCCACAACTTCCCTAACTGCCTTAGGTAAAGGTCCACACAGGACACATAGTTATTTGTATATCTCTACTCTTAACATTTCTTTTAGCAAGACCATACAGGTAGGATATTTGATTCTAAATCTCTATAGATTTAACATCACATTCCATTGATTCTAAGATTTTTAAAAAATATTTTATCAATTCTGAAACTGGGGGGTTATCTTACAAAAGATGACACCTTAGAATGGCTGTTGAGCAGGTGGTAATCATGATGCAGTGATCACGGTGCGGGCGCACACACGTACACTTAAAGTCATTCCTGGTGGTGTGACTGGACAGCTTCTAACCTTTGACTGGTCAGTCAGCAAATCATTTAAAGAAGGAATACAAATCTTTGGTTATTGTCTGAAAACCCGTTGACTTCTGGAAGGTCAGTTTTAAACCTTACAAAATGAGTGACAGTGGATTGGAAAATAATGGAGTTTTCTTTTAAGAAGTGTTGTGTCACCAACACTCTTGAGGCCACAGAAGAGAATATGTATGTAACAACACAGACATCGATGACTCTGAGCTGAAAAGTGATTCAGAAGGGCCGGACTCTGAGTGCGAAGAAGGTTTAGGAAAATCTTGACTAACTTAGTTCACTTAATTTTTCTTTTGATGTAAGCCTGAGTGATGTAAGATCAAAACCCATGTCTAAATTAGTCTTCAAAAAATACTCTTTAAATAAGTTTAAATAAAAAGTTAGGAGCAGGGGCCGGCCCGGTGGCAAAGCGGTTAAGTTCGCACGTTCCGCTTCTCGGCGGCCCGGGGTTCGCTGGTTCGGATCCCGGGTGCGGACATGGCACTGCTTGGCAGCCATGCTGTGGTAGGCGTCCCACGTATAAACTAGAGGAAGATGGGCACGGATGTTAGCTCAGAGCCAGGCTTCCTCAGCAAAAAGAGGAGGACTGGCAGTAGTTAGCTGAGGGCTAATCTTCCTCCAAAAAAAAAAAAAAAAAAAAAAAGTTAGGAGCAGAAAAAGATTGTCATAGTTTAATTGCCATTGTTTTTGCTTTCTTAGTGGTATATACAGTAATGGTGTGCCTTACCATTGATGGTGTTTTAGAATGGATGAAATATAGTTACAGCTTTACAGAAGAGAAAAAGAAACACCACTATAAAAGTAAACAAATTACAAGATGGATTCATATTTCAGAAACATTAAAAAAAAAACTAAACCAAGAAACAAACTTGATTTTGTGTGTTCCAGAAAAGCAAGGATCTGCGTGGACTGGGTTTGAATTGTCACGTGGCGGAAGAAGGGGGTTGGATGGACATAGGGTTTGGCCTGGAGACGTAAGTAGTGGGAGTCTAGCAGGAACATTGGAAGAAACATGGGAAATAAATTTGATGGTAAAAGTTGTAGCTTAAAAACTGGTTTGGGGATCAGGAAAGTGATCAAGTTACTTGCTGCCTTCATTTCTGGATCTGTGAAATGGGATTTACTTCTCCAACTCCCTCCTTGAGGAGGGGGCAGCATATGGAGGACCAAGAAAACATTTGCAGTGTGTTCGGAGTCCTTCGAAGAGTAGCCAAACAGGACTACAAAGCATTTATTCATTAAATACAAAAACCTTCATCTCCCACCCACCCTCACCCTGGAGACCTTGGTTATAAAGAAATAATGCAATAATTGTGTTGCAACATGTTTTTCCTCTGGTCTGTTTCTTAGTCCTCTGGAGTAAGAGACATAGACATTTAGACCTCAACTGAAGGCATTGATTGGAAGGGTTTCTCCCAGAGTTGGCCCACTTGGAAACCAGGTAATCTGAGCTGGAGGAAAAGGCAAATCCCCCCAGCTTGTTAGCAAACACAACACAAAGCTTTGAACTCAGATCAGAGAGTTCAGTTGGCCTTTATATGTGAGCTGGGAGCTGGAGGCCGTTGAGTTCGTTGAGTTTGGTTGGAAAGGGGATGGAGGGAACGCACTCGCTTTTCCTCAGTCAAGAGTTTGTCGGGTGGAGGGAGGGGAGGGCAGGGAATTTGCCTAAATGGGAGAGGAAGAGCGAGAGAAGGGCGGAGTGTGCTGGGAATGCACTTGAGAGTAATCAGAGGCTGAGGCCTCCTTTCACGGAAAGCTGGCTGTTGGATCGGTTGGTGTGCTTTTCCTGACTCCAAACTCCCCTGATTGAGGACTGCGGCTTCAGTAATTACCCGGGTACTGCTTTGCCCTCGTGCATAAATGGCCAATTACCTCAAACTGTCACAAGGGCCCAGAAATCTCAAATAAGGACCACTTTCCCAAGGTCAGGGACTGAACTGACCCAATTTTATAAAGCTCCAGGTGTAGGTCTGGAGACAGCGTGGCTTTGTGTGGGTGGGCAGAAGTGTAGGGGAAGAATGGAGTGTTTCATTTTTTTTTTTCTGCTTTTTCTCCCCAATCCCCCCGGTACATAGTTGTATATCTTAGTTGTGGATCCTTCTAGTTGTGGCATGTGGGACGCTGCCTCAACGTGGCCTGATGAGCGGTGCCATGTCTGTGCCCAGGATCTGAACCAGTGAAACCCCGGGCCACCGAAGCAGAGCGCACGAACTTAACCACTCAGCCATGGGTGGCCCCTCAATTTTTTTTTTAAACGGCTTTACTGTGATGTAATTCACATAGCACACAATTTACCTGTTTAAAGTGTACAATTCACTGGTTTTCAGTACACACATAGAGTTGGGCAAGCAGCACCACAGTTAGTTTTATCACCTCAAAAAGAAACTTAAGGGGCTGGCCCCATGGCCGAGCGGTTAAGTTCCTGCGCTCTGCTGCAGGCGGCCCAGTGTTTTGTTGGTTTGAATCCTGGGCGCGGTCATGGCACTGCTCATCAAACCACGTTGAGGCAGCATCCCACATGCCACAACTAGAAGGACCCCAAACGAAGAATACACAACTATGTACTGGGGGGCTTTGGGGAGAAAAAGGAAAAAAACCAAAGCAAAACAAAAAAAAGAAACCTAAACGGACAGCCCTGGTGGCCTAGTGGTTAAGTTTGGCATGCTCTGCTTTGGCAGCCTGCGTTCAGTGCCCAGTCACGGACCTATACCACTTGTCTGTCAGTGGCCATGCTGTGGTGGCTCACATACAAAAAGAGGAAGATTGGCAGCGGGTGTTAGTGCAGGGAGAATCTTCTTCAGAAGAAAAAGATAAAACCTGTACCTTTTAGCAATCACCTCCTCTCCCCTCCCCAGCCCTAAACAACCACTAATGTATTTTCTGCCTCTATAGATTTCCCTATTCTGGACTTTCAGATGAGTGGAATCATGTAATATGTGGTCTTTTATGATTGGCTTCTTTCAGTTAGCATAATTTTTTTTTTTGAGGAAGATTAGCCCTGAGCTAACTGCTGCCAATCCTCCTCTTTTCGCTGAGGAAGACCGGCCCTTAGCTAACATCTATGCCCATCTTCCTCTACTTTATACGTGGGACGCCTGCCACAGCACGGTGTGCCAAGTTGTGCCATGTCTGCACCCGGGATCCGAACTGGTGAACCCCAGGCGGCTGAAGCGGAACGTGCGAACTTAACCGCTGTGCCACTGGGCTGGCCCCTAGCATAATGTTTTCAAGGTTCATCCATGTCATAGCAAGTATCAGCATTTCATTTCTTTTTATGGCTGAATAATATTCCGTTGTATGTAAATGCTATTTTTTATTAATCCATTCACCATTTATAGACATTTGGGTTGTTTCTATCTTTCGGCTATTATGAATGATGCTGCTATAAACATCCATGTACAAGCTTCTGTGAGGATACATGTTTTTGGTTCTCGATTATATATCCAAGAGTGGAATTGCTGAATCGTATGGTAATTCTATATCTATCTTTTTGAGAAACCACCAGACTGTTTTCTACATTTGCTGCATCATTTTACATTCTCACTGGCAATCTGTGAGAATTCCAGTTTCTCCACATCTTCACCAATACTTGTTATTTTCCTTTGTTTTTGTTGTTGTTATAGCCATCCTTGTGGGTATTAAGTGGTATCTCATTGTGATTTTGATTTGCATTCCTTTAATGATCTATTGAGTTGATTTTTGTGTATGATGTAGGATAAAGGTCTCATTTCATTCCTTTGCATGTGGCTTTTCAGCACCGTTTGTTGAAATGTTCTTTTCCCATGAAATGGTCTTGGCACCCTTGTCAAAAATCAGTTGACATATATGTAAGTGTTTACTTCTGGACTCTTAATTTTATTCCATTGATCTATATGTTTATCCTTGTGCCCGTATCATACTATCTTGATTACTGTTGTTTTGTAGAAACTTTGGAAATTGGGAAGTGTGAGTCCTCCTATTTTGTTCTTTTTTCAGGATTGTTTGGCTATTCTGGTCCCTTGAAACACTACATGAATTTTACAATTATCTGGTCAATTTCTATAAAGAAGTCAGATTCTGATAGGTTTTTTTGTTGAATGAATAGATCAGTTTGGGGAGCTTTGCCATCTTATCAATGTGAAGTCTACAGATCCATGAACATGGGATGTTTTCCATTTATTTAGATGTTCTTTAATGTCTTTAAATACCATTTTGTAGTTTTCAGAGTAAAGTTTCACACTTCTTTTGTTAAATTTATTCATAACATTTTAATCTTTTTGATGCTGTTGTGAATAGAGTTGTTTCCTTAATTTAATTTTCAGATTATTCGTTGCAAGAGTGTAGAAATACAATTGATTTTCATGTATTGATCTTGTATCTTGCTGAACTTGTTTATTAGTTCTAATAGTTTTTTAGTGGATTTCTTAGAATTTTCTCTACACGAAATCGTCATCTGTGAACAGAGGTAGTTTACTTCTCCTTTTCCAATCTGGAGGCTTTTTATTTAGTTTTCTTTCTTTTTTTTTATAAAGATTTTATTATTTTTATTTTTCCTTCTTCTTCCCAAAGCCCCCAAGTACACAGTTGTATATTTTAGTTGTGGGTCCTTCCAGTTGTGGCACGTGGGACGCCACCTCAGCATGGCTTGATGAGCGGTGCTAAGTCCACACTCAGGATTTGAACCGGGGAAATCCTGGGCCGCTAAAGCAGAGTGTGCAAACTTAACCACTTGGCTATGGGGCTGGCCCCTTTATTTAGTTTTCTTACCCAATTGTCTTGAGGAATGATGTCTTAGAAGTCTAAAAAGACCAAAATGTACTGGAACAACCTCTGGAGAAAAATCCAAAAGTGTTCCCACTATGTGCTCAGCATCTTACTGGGAGATCATGAATGTATTTATTTTTCATATATATATTTATATACATATGTCATATATATATATATGTCATTTATATATATATATGTAGAGAGAGAGAGAAGAGACACAGAGAGAGAATTCACCGTGTCCTAAAAGTCTAATGGGAGCGTTCTTCTTCTCCTCTTGGACTAACACATTTCTTTTTCAATGGACACTGACTGAAGACTTCTTTTTGACCTGTTATTTTCTAGGCACCAGGGACATGGTGCTGAACAGGAGTGGCCAGCTCTGAGCTCAAGGTCTAGAGGGAGATAGACAAGCCAAACTGATCATTACATGCTCATGAGAACAACACGGTCTATGAGAGTGATGTAGGTGAGTGGTATGGGACCATAGGAGAGGAGGAATTGGGAGAGGGAAAGGGGGAAAAGATTCTCAGAGGAAGCATACTGGATTGGGACATCTTGAAAACTAGGCAGGGGGCCCAGGTGTGTTTGGGCATAAGCCCAAGCCCCAGCTGGCCCTCCACCATGACCAATTTCCCAGTGAATTCTCCTTCCCTCTTTGGCTAGTGTGCAAATAGGAGAATGTAGACCCCCCCAGCAGGAATTCTCAGAGGACCCTGGAGGACTGAGTAAGCCTAAGAAAGGAAAAACAGAGAGAAAGAATGACTGGACCAACCAGGAAATATGACGTCCCCTTGGCCTCTTGAGAGAAATTACTCATCCTTGTCCTCCTCTTCCCAGCAACTCTCCTCCCCGAGCCTATCTGTCACATGACTTCATTCTCTGGAACTCTGCGCTACTCAGGGCAAGGGGCCTCAGCTCAAATCCTGTCTTAAGTAGCCACAGATGTCTACTTTGTTTGGTTGAACAGCCCCCAAAGGTACCATCGAAATGTCTGAGACTATCCTGGTTTTAGCATGGAAAGTTCTGCACCCCAAGAAACCCCTCAGTCTAGACAAACTAGAATGGTTGATCACCCTCTCAGTATGCCCTAGACAGGGGCAGTCTTCAAAGGAGTTTCACTAACCATCCCAAACCAAAGGTTTTAATGCATCTGGGAGGTACTATGGTCTGTTGTTGACTAGTTAAGACTCTGGAGTTGAAGTTATTAAGACTAAGATAGAATTTCAGCTCTGCCCGTTGTAGTTTCCAGACTTTGGGTCAGTTGTCTATCATTCTGAGCCTCAATTTTCACATCTGCAGAACCGTGGGACTGAATTAACCTCATAGGATTGTTGGGAATTAGATGAGAGAATGCCTGCAAAGTGCTGGGTACAGCCTCTGGAACATTGAAAGAGATCAATAAAATGATCAATGCTCTCGTTTAGAGGTTGGCAAACTACAGATGTGGGCCAAATTCAGACAGCCTCCTGCTATTATAAAGTTTTATTGGAACACAGCCACTCCTGTTCATTCGCATATTGTCTGTGACTTCGTTCAACCTATAAAGGCAGAGCTGAGTACTTGCAGCAGAGAATGTATGGCCTGCAAAAGCCTAAACTGTTTATTTTCTGGCCCTTTACAGAAATAGTTTGCTGACTCCTGTTCTTATTAATATAGCCAGGTGTAGTTGAGGGAGGTTTGATTCAGAGCCAGGAAGCCTGGGCTCCCTCTGATAGGCATTAGCTCTGTGACCTTGGGTAGATCACTCAACTTCTTAGGATTTATGTCCTTGTCTGTGCAACAAGCAGGTGAGTCATAAGAATCATCCGTGTGGCCAAACTTCCGGGACCTACATTTTGAACCTATGAGACACTTAGGGCAAGAAGTTCTAGAGAAGGTGGGTGAAGGGTGAAGTGAATTGTGGGTTTGATGTCTCATTCTCAAATTCCCCAGATCTGATGAGCCACTTCCTTCCTGAGCTGTGCCTTTTACAGTGAGTCCTAGTAGCCTTCAGGAGAGGGCAAGCTGAGCAAGCTCATCAAACTTGCCAGAAAGTCCTTGGTCAATTGCTCTGGAGAAGTCAGGGCCCGTGTCCTATCCCGCCAGGGAGCCTGGTTTCTGGTGTGAGGAAGAATGAATCATGACCTTCTCCTACCCGATCTACCTGCCTATGAGGGTTGTGGAGTCACCCTTATTTGCTAATGATAATTTTTAAATGACTCTGAGCCATCTCAAATGTCTGCCTCTACGCTCCTGAGAGTGCTGATTACAGAATGATGCCCTCTGGTTTCATAACTGGAAAATGTCAACAGGGAAGAGAGAGAGAAAGAGAGGGAGACAGAGAGAACTAGGCCCTTATGGGGTCTCCAGAATTAATAAACTATGGCATAGAAAACTCCCACCAACTCTTTCAATGTGACTCCATTTTGTAAACAAATCTCATTCTCCCCTTTTTTCCCTTCCCTCCATTCTAGATGCTCTTCCATGCTGCAAGAAGTCCTCATCTGTCCCCTTAAGCACCCAGCCTAAGTCCTCCTCCTTCTTGAACCTTCTCTGGCTAACCTAGCCCACCCCATCCCTCCCTTTTCTGCATTTCTGGCGTGTTTGGTTGGAGCCTCTACCCAGCACTTCTCACATGCTGTCTGGATTGTTTTCTGATAGTTCTGTAGGCATTAGTTTCCTCTTCCCAGAAGGACTCCTATTTCCACAAGGGCAGGGCAGGGCTGTGCTGTCTACCTCCTCTGCATGCTCTGCGGGCTTGGGCTGGCGCGGGCTCCAGCAGGAAGTAGGGTCCTGGTAGACTGTTCTCCTCCCCTGCCGCCCGCCAGTTCCTGTACAGAGCTGGGACTTCCCATCCTCATCCAGGCTGTGGAGGTTGCATTAAACCTCTCCCATACCTGGATCTCTTCTTCAATTGTTACCCTAGCAGGTTGGGTTGATTCCTTCCACCCTGCTCGTTCCTTAAGGCTATTTTGTGTTAGGGCTGGACCTTTTCTGTGATTAGGATAATAACGTTAGAGTTTGGCTGGTGGGCAGCCTCTCCTTAATGAATGAAAAATGAACTGTAACATTGCCAGAAATGAGTGCTTATCTACCTCGTTCTCATTCTGAAGAACAATTAGTGTTCTGCTGCTGTGAAAGCCACCAGTGTCAGGGGGTGTCTAATTGCATTTATATCCTAGGGCTCTTTCGATTCCCTTTATTCTGGTGTCAAGTTTCATTTTGATTATATGGGGGAAAAAGCTTGCCTTTTTATTAAACCAGTGTGGATATTAATTATTATCATTGACATTCTAGCAAAAACCCCTCACGTTCAAGGAATAGGGCGTTCACTCCTGCATTCACCTGGGCAGCCTGTGGAGTGGCCCCTGGGAACCCATCTGCAAGGGGGTGAAGCCCCAATGGGCATTCCTCCTTCCCGCTGAGGATGGGGACCAGTGGGAGAGAAACTAGCCAGGATCATTCATTCACTCACTTTTCACTGTGTGTCTACTTAGTACTCACAAATAAGAGCCCAGCATTTTCTCTCTGTATATTTCAGGAATGCTTTGTTTTCCACACATAGACTTTGGATTTTCTAATTTTTTAATTCCTATGTAGAACACATCTGGTGAACCAGCCCTCTTTGGAGTCCATGTGTAGTTGGACATTGAGAGAAAAATGTCACCTTCTACAAGGCAAAATACGTCTGAAGTGCCAGGCATGGGGAGCCATTTGCTATTGCCTGAATGTGTCATGTTTTCCATGAAGGCAGCACTTGGTGCCAGGCCCATAAAAAGCCCTGGGGATTGGCTAATGCTGACTCATCAATGGCAAGCAAAGGAGCCATCGGGCTCTGAGGTGGGCAGGCGCCTTAACTAACATGAGGGTGACTCGTGGGGTGGCCTGGCCCACACACTGTAAGGAAAGCACTGTAACTGCAAGGGGGTGTGAATACGAAAGGTGTGTGTGGGCTTTGGCGTTTGGCTTTGTGTCCGATATTATCTAGTGTTTTTGGCAAACATGGGGCAAGGGGCTGTTTGATCTTAGGCACAGCAAATAACCAAAGCGTCACCTATTCGTGGAGACCTGCACATTTGCAGGTAGATAAAGCTCATTTGCAAAAGGTCAGGTGAGCCCAGGCAAGGTTAGAGAAGCATTTTTGATGTTACTCTGAACTCTGTTGTCCCAGTGGCCCAAATAGGGGGCATAATTCATAACACAGCTCCCACCACCTGCTTTTCTTTTGAATCAACATATATTTTGCTCAGAGTGATAAAATTGGTGTTATCTTTATGCCCAGTTTCTTAGAAAATCAGAAGACTGGCTATTTTTAAGACTTAAAACAGCATTTTCTACCAGTTTGGATGCTGTTTTGATCTTGGCTTTGGTGCTTTTCCAAACCTAGGCAGGCACCAACAGATCTGTCTGCAGGAAGCTGCTGCAGATGTGGGAGAATGTGAAGAAGTGTGAAGCCAGAGGAAGGAGGTGCTGCCCCACCCCTGGCTCGCCCGCTCAGTGTAGGCTGGCTGGGTTGGCAGCAGCCTGACTAACCTCAGGGCCTGAGGGTGCTGCTCATCTGGGCCCAGGCCAGGGCCACAGGAACCTTCATCTCATTCATATTTGCCTTTCACTCTTTAACCCAGGAATTCTGTCCCACATGAATGGACTGAAGGCAGAACCGCATTTCTTTCAGAAAGTCTTCTGTTTATTCTGTGCTTGCATGTGGAGATCCAGGGAGGTTGGTGAGGTGAATCTGACAAGTGTGCATGGAATGATTCAGAGCAGTAGCTCCTGAAAGGTTGCCATGTGATTCTTCAGGGCGTCCTGCGGTCCTGCTCTGGTTGACAGACTGAGGGATCCCAACCCCACTGTAGCTTCTAGGCCAGTGTCCCACCAGACTAGCCCAAATTCGCTTTGTAGAAGGAGGAGCATTTGGACATCTCCCCGTTAGTATATTCAGAAGAAAATGTTACGGGGTATTATGGGCTGAATTGTGCCCCTCCCCCCGCCCCCAAATTCACATGTTGAAGCCCTAACCCCTAACGCCCCAAAATGTGACTGTATTTGGAGATAGGATCTTTAAAGAGGTAAAGTTTAAATGAGGTCATTAGGGTGGGTCCTAATTTAATATGACTGGTGTCCTTACAAGAAGAGGAGATTAAGACGCAGATGCACACAGAGGGAAGACCGTGTGAAGACACAGGGAGAAGAGAGAGAGGCCTCAGAAGAAATCAACCTTGCTGGCATCTCAGTCTTGGACTCCTAGCCTTCAGAACTGTGAGAAATAGGGGCTGGCCCTGTGGCCGAGTGGTTAAGTTCGTGTGCTCCGCTTCGGCGGCCCAGGGTTTCGCCGGTTCGAATCCTGGGCGTGGACATGGCACCACTCATCAAACCATGCTGAGGCAGCATCCCACATGCCACAACTAGAAGGACCCACAACTAAAAATACACAACTATGTACCGGGGGGCTTTGGGGAGAAAAAGGAGAAATTAAAAAAAAAAAGC